CCCCCACTGAAGGGAGATGGTTAGGATTAAGTCTTACCGTAAAGAACTCTGCTTCTATTTATATTATTTTAGATGCAGTTTTTTCATTTTTGATTGCGTTTTAATAGGGTACGTCAACAGAATGTACACTAAGAAGGGATTTTTTGATATTTTCCCCCGCAGGGGAGAGAGACAGGATTAAGGCTTACTGTGAAGAACTTGGCTTCTGTTATACTATTTTAGATGCGGGTTTTTGTGTTTTAATAGGGTACGTCGAGAGAATGTACACTAAGAAGAAATTTTTCGAAAAATTTTTCCTCATGGGGAAAGTGTTATACATTTATAATAGATACATTTTGAGCCACAAAAATGCATGGCGAGGGTCTGCTAATTTAGTATACAGTTGAAAAGAGTAAGCTTTAAGTACAGGTAACCCCATATAACACAGCACTTCTATAGCACGGATTCACTCTAACACGGTTCGAGAATTGGAAGTTCCACGTATAACACGGTGCTTTTATAGCACTGGTTCACTCTAACACAGTTCGGGAATTGGGTAAAACCCTCATACAACATGAAATGTAATAAAGGATGCGTTCTTTTATACCTCTGTGCGAGCATTCAAATTTTTTTTGTGGCTGCTTTGACTGCTCTTTCAACAAATAATCCATTTAATCGTTAAATTTTACAATTGGGACCCTTCTGTTTCCTCTAAATGCTCATATTTTAGAATTATAGATTTCTCCATCATGATACTATTGATAGTGCGGGCACCGCCATCTTTCTTTCACCATTGTTCCTAAATGCCTACAAACAGCAGCGCACTCCCCTTGTAGTTGAGACTCAGAGCGATTGCTATTAACGAATGCACCCAAAAATTGTTACCAGTTGATGATGCTCATGCTGAGATCTTCATATAGAATGAATAATCCTCTGATAAAATANGTTAGTGGTTTACAAAAAAAAAAAAAATTATAAGTTAACTATGGGAAAAAACCAAGTCCAGAAAATATGGTATAAATTGTAGGAAAATATTAATTCTGGGAATGTGTTTATTTTAAAATGCATAGAGAAGTTTGTGACTAGCTTTATATATCACATATTAAGTGATGATACAATCACTGTATTGATGAAAGTAATGTGATATTTTCATACACTTTCACTACAGGCTATCATGTACTTACACATTTCATTTCTAGCTTAATAGTAACCTAATCTATGTTTGGGATCTACTGTTTTGCTAAAAGTCATGAGATCAATATACTTGTCAGTTTGTATGATTATGTTGTTTTATGTACAACTTTATAAGTTTGCTGTTTGGATGAAGAACATTGTTTATATTTGTATAAAGTTGATTTCCAAAATCCTTAGAGTTATAAATTAGGTTGATAACTTCCAGCTTAATAAACTTTTAAAGAGTAAGATTTAAGTACAGGTAACACTATATAACACAGCACTTCTATAGCACGGATTCACTAATGTAATAAAGGGTGCATTCTTTTATACCTCCGTGTGAGCATTCTAATTTTTTTTTGTGGCTACTTTGAATGTTCTTTCAACAAATAATCCATTTAATGGTTAAATTTTACAATTGGGACCCTTCTTTTGCCTCTAAATGCTCATATTTTAAAATTATAGATTCCTCCATCACGATACTATTGATACTGCGGGCACTGCCATCTTCCTTTCTTTCCCATTGTTCCTAAATGCCTACAAATTGCAGTGCACTCCCGTTGTAGTTGAGACTCAGAGTGAGCGCTATTAACGTACACACCCAAAAATTGTTACTAGTTGATGATGCTCATGCTGAGATCTTCATATAGAATGAATAATCCTCTGATAAAATATTTACTTAAATAATAAATAAGTATTTTACCCATAAAAAAAATGAATAATAAATCCAATTTAAAGAAGGATTTAACAGCATGTTTTTTAATTTTTGGAACCTAACCCCCTTTTCACACTAGTTCTTTGTTTTGTATAACGCAGATTTGCATAACACGGCAATTTTTTGGAACGTAACTCCCGTATTATATGGGGGTTAACTGCATGTTGTTAAATTATATTGATTTACATGTCATCAATAAAATTTAGAGTGCATAGATATGTGGTAATATATACTATGTGAACTATGATGTAAAACTTGTTTAAACGTTTACTTTTTCTAATATAAAATAAAATAATTGCTTTCTTCCAACAGTTTAAATTAAACAATGACTTTGAATTTAATAAATTGTTTAATTTAGACTCCTGAAACAAAGCCTGTTGTCTCTTATTTTCCTTGAGATATAGAGGATGTAGACTGATAGAATATTAAATAATTGAAAAGAGAGATAATTTTGAATATAAAAAATGATAAATTTTTAATATCTTATCATTTAGTAAACAAAGTTTTTGTATAAATAAAACATTTTTCTATATCTTAACTCTCATATATATTGAAATTAATAAAATAAATTTTCTTTATAAAGGTAAAACAAAAACCCTTATGTTTTTTGATGGATGTGCAGCAAATTTAGGATGCACCATATTATTAAGAGGTGGTTCAGTTGCAGAATTGAAGAAAGTAAGAATTTAATCATTTATTAATTTAATTAATTTGGTTATCCATTTCAATCAGTATTTTATCTCAATTTTAAATAAATTTATAATAAAATATTAATGATTAAAAACCATTTTATTATAATGAAACACAAAGAATAACAAGACTTATTTTATTTATTTTCAACATTAATGAAATAAAAATCATTTGCAAAATTGAACAAATTGAGTATTTTTTTATAATTGATTAATGTTTATATGTAAAGAATTAGTTTTTTAGTAGGGATTAAATATATTCCAGGCTTGTCTTCAAAATTTCCAAAATTTTGCAAAATTGAATAAATAGATTATGCTTATACACAAATTAAATATTTTCATTTTTTAGAATTTTCTGAATGATTATAAGTAATGAGAGGAACTGTGTGCAATGCCTTCTCAATTTTTTAAATAGTATCAAATAATACATATCTAATATAATACATGTAATAGGTAATTACAGTGTGCTAAATATTCTGAGTTATATCAAAACTATAAACAATCTCAAATATGCAGCAACTCACTAAACTTTAGAAATGAGGAAAAATGTATTAAGTTTGTTCTGGAATATGGAATTCTGAAATTCTTAGTTGAAAACTTCAACTTGTAGACAGGGATTTTCTTATAAACTAAAGTTTCTACTAGACTAAAGAATTCTTCCTATCCAGCTTTGTTTCATATTACCAGCTATTTATTTAAGAATTATGTGTAAAAATTGATGTAAATTATTCTGTTAATAACAAATAGAAATAAATTACATGAAATGTTGAATTGTCAAAAATCCAATTACTTTAAAATTTTGTTACCTGGCTAAAAACAAATTTATTTTTCATTAGGTTAAACAAATCACCAATTTTATGGTTTATTTTGCTTACAATTGGCAATTGGAACGTTCTTTTCTAATGGATGAATTTGCAATGCCTCCGCCTCTTCCTGATGAACTTCCTCTTATCATTGAATCTTCAGAAAATGAAAATAAAGGTGATAAATGTGATAATATAGAAATGAAGAAAATAAAATATAATAATGCAACTAATGTAAAAAATGGAAGTACTACAAATGTTAACAATTCAAAATTTATGTCTAGACCAACTACATTAAATCTAAAAAATATAAAGCATCCAGAAACTGATATTAAGTTAAAAGAGAATTTAGAAGATATTCAGAAAAAGAAAGAGTCAAAGTATATTGAAGACTTTAGTGATCCCTTGAGATCATATTTGCAGTCTGAAGATGATTCTATATTTCATCATCATGGCAGTAGTCTTCATGTAGCGTCTCTACCGTTTTCAAATCAGTTTCGTAAAGCTTTAGATGATGTTGTATTATGCATTTCCCCAAATATAAAGATTACTGTACCTTATTTAGAAACAGAGAATGGGAGAAATTGTGAGCTTCGTCGATTCTTTCCGGAAGAAATATATTGGTCTGAACAATTTCTAAAGGAATTAGAAGGAAGTGGAAAAAAAAATCAGTATATTGATATTGAAGAGGTGTCATTACAGTCATTTATTACAAATGTTAATCAAGACAATATTGAAGTTTTGCCTACTCATTCATTTTTATTTACAAAACTGACTACAACTTTTCAAGATTCTATTCAGACACAAACATTATTAGCAGATTTTAGGGCACGTGGAGGTAGAATTAGACAATTATGTCCCCATGAAATCACAATGAGAGAAAAAGAAAAAAAGTCACAGAATAGAGGAGATACTTTTATTACTGGAATAAATAATGCACAAAAGTCAGAACTCGCAAATGCTGGCCTATTTTGGGAAAAAAAAGTAAGCATTCATTTTTTAATAAGCTTAAATCAATATTATATGTTTCTGATCTATTTTTTTTATGTTTTAGGTAGATGCATTAAGTGCATACAATCATCAGAGATTAGCAATTTTGTTTTGTAGTTATTCTAACAGTTCCAATAATGCACCAAACTTTTGTGTTAGTCCTTGGTAAGTTTTATCTGAATTTATGAAGAAAAATATATTTTATTATATATAATTATGAATTACTTATAACTTTAAATCAGAATGCATTACTGCTACTAGTAATTATTTAATATCCAGTAATTTGGCAGTAGAAATAGCTGTTTGGCATCATCTCTTATTACATTTAATAATTATAATTAAATTAATATTTATTAAATAATTTAGAAAATTCTGGAATAAAACAATCAGCCCAGAATGGGACTCAAACCCAAAATTGTTGCTTACCTTGTGGATGTGTTACATTACACTACCTGGATCTCTATCTGATCCTTTGCTTCCAGACAGTTAATTTAGACATAACCATATTAGTTACTCACTGTGTCAACTGGAGATGACTCAGTGGGTGATTGCAGGCCATGGATGCTGAGTTGTTCCCAGATGGCACCATGAGTAACTAGTATGGTTATATCTGAATTAAATGCCTGGAAGTGAAGATTAGGTGGAGATTCAAGTAGTGTAATGCAACACACTCACAAGGTAAGGGCAATTGCAGGTTAAAATATAGAATAAATAATAATGAAGGAAGAGTAATATGTAAATCCTGGTTGTCATTTTTACCCAGTAGGGGGAGGGATGATAATAGTTGCATGATACTGTAATGTGAATTGTAATCATGACCATTATATAGTGGATTATCAAGAGATTTTCTTTTTAGATATTGTAGGTGAGTGTTTTTAAACTGTGGTGATATATATAATTAAAATGTTTGTAATGGAAATTAAATTATATTAATTCAGGCCTGTTTATAATGTAATCCTCATAGTACTGAGCAGTGTGGGTGGAAATAAATCTTGAACAGATCAGTTTGTAAACTGGTATTATATGCATACATTTATAATTTTTAAAACTGTTTGTTTTTTAAAATTATTTTAGGTATGTTTTAAATTGTAGATTGTAATTAATGTCAATTTCTCTGCAAATTTGTTCTGCAACAGATATCTATATATTTTTATATATGGCTGATAAGGGTCTTGTGTACCAAAATGCGTACCAGTAATAAAGTTGCATTCTGATGATACAAGTGTCATTTTGATGTTACCAGTAGCAGTGTGATAAGTGTGTTATCTCTACTATAGTATTTGAGATATTAGTTTAAAACAATTTTCGAGACAAGAAGCTCTTTTATAAAAGCAGGTGTTGTTTTCAAACTTGTTCAATGTTTTAATAATCCAAGCATTGCCAGATACAGTACATCACCTAGTAAACTACAAAAAGGACTTATTTCATCTTAGCCTATAAGCTTGCCTAGTTTCTTACTTTGTTGTTGAATTGAATCATTACTGAGAATCATTTTTTTAAATCTTTTGTTTTCAGTATCTGTCACATCTCTGTGATGTAGACAAAGAAGAGTCATGACTGCACTTGAAAACTACTGTTCTAGAGCAGTGCTTTTCAAGCTAGGGGCTATGAGACT